TGAGGTAATAGTTCTTCTTTAGATTTTCAGTCATTCCTAAGCAGTTTCAATCTTAGCATCTTGTTCTTTCAGTTTGTACTTGCATTTTCAGTGTATTTGCATGTTCTTAGAACTTAGTCGGTCAGAAATCAGTTTCTAGTATTTAGTTTTAGGGGATGCAACTCTCTCCCTCCATTTCAGCTAATTTAGTCTTCATTTGAGGATAAATCTTCTCAAGGGGAAGATAATGTAACACCCTGTATGCTAGAACAAACCAAAATGCAAATTTTAGAGTTTCAAGTGCAACCCGCGATTACCACTCACGGATTATAGGGTGACCCACGACCAGTGTTGTTGGTCCGTGGATGGGTACTTGCGATCCTTCCTCAAAAACTACAAGAAATTTCTCTAAGTGTCAAACCATAGTTGGAACCATGCAACGTAGGGCCACAAACCTCGGTTTGTGTGCGTAGATCAGACCCCAATTTTCAACTTTCATAACCCCATCAATGGTTGCCAGAACTGACCGTCGATCCAACCATGGTCTGTTGATCTTGTCCGTTGGTAGAGTCGATAAAAGTTACTTCAACGGTTGTTTGGTCCTTTCCTTATGCGTAGGACCCCTAAACTACATCATTTTACCCCTAAAATACGTAGTTTTAGCCTAGTAACTTAATTAGAATCTACCATAAGAAAATCATTCACCAAAAAGATAGAAAAATTAGAACACAAAAGGAGACACATTCGACTAAGACCTGGTCCAAGAATACAACATATTTTCATCAAATATAGCCCCGAAATCTAAAGATTTATTTATGAAACTTCTCACCAAGTATATGAGATTTCACTAGTGGGTAGCTTTTGTCCATTAAGTCCCCAAATTTTAGTCAGATTCTGGATTCCCTTATTATTATTTAGACCTAGGGTCTCTAGAATTTCAGCAGATCATTATGAATTAGTTAGTTTAATGTTCCTAATCAGATTATTATGATTTTAGTATGGTTTTGCGTAATACCTTCATAAATTAAGAACCCTTACTATGTAGTCCTTTTAGTTCATGAATTACACATGCTAGGTCAGATATTTTAGTTATGCATGCCTCAGATTTAAATGTTTCATTATCAATATATTAATGATGAATTTTCAGTTAGCATGTCAGTTTTTTGCTATCCAGTATTATAGAAATTCAGTCATAAAATGTCACTTACTTAATCAACAGAGAGAAGCTCAATACCGAGTGGACTAGGGTCAATCACCCTCAAGTCCAAAATTAAGTGCTCCGTAGGTTGTAAGTCTCCTCTATGGGCATCATTTTAGTGATCACGCCAGCATACCTCTATACATCTGGTAGCGTATATTGGGTCCTCTTGATGGGGCATATACATCGTACTACACATTTAGCTCTGTGTTTTTTTGTCGGTTATTATCAGCTCCCACAGTTCAATAAAATTTTATTCAGTACAGTTCAATATTCAGTCTTCTTATGCTATAAACTTGTTCATTGCATTCAGTTTAGTCATGTATAGTACTTTCAGTATCCTTATCATGTTTAGATTATAGCATTGCCTTATTACTTATTTAAGTATGTTATTGTTCAAATTTATTCTATCCTCCATAATCAGTACCTTTCAATTACTAAGGCATACTCTGCGCTACACCTTCTCAAAATCCCGCATAGATCGGTTCCCGATCTTTAGTTCAGCAACATCAGTGATGAATCCTCACTCTTCAAGGACAATTGACATGTTATCTTTCCATTTTAGTCTTTAACATTTAGTTTTTGCTAGATTTAACTGAGACATTTCCCATCACTTATAGTTAGTTTAGAGGCTTAATTCAAACATCGTTTGATTCAACTTTAGTGTTAGAGTTTGACTTTGAATTTGTATTTCAAACTCTCAGTTTTAATTTATTTAGATAGTATATGGATTTTTCCTATCGCTTAAAATTATTCATGTGATTTAGCTTCCGCACAATATTTATTAATTCTATGTCAACATGATTAGCTTGGGGTCACTCATGATCCTAGGTCCCGTGTCCGCATCCTAGGGTAGCTTTGAGGCGTGACAATACTCATAAGAAACACCTATAGTCCATGAATTCACCGATAATGACCTTGGTATCAATAACACTCGTTGTCAATGACCTTCTATCTATAATACTCACCAAAAATGACATCAACTTTAATAAAGCTAGTTGGTAATGACCTCAGCATTAAAAACTCTAGCCGAAAATGAATTCACCATCAATATAACTAACCGAACCCATTTCTCTTCGGCAAAATGATCACATGGTTCTTCACGGTGACGCAAAATGCAAATAAGAAATTCCACACCACAAGGAAAATATAATAACTTAAGCAATTCAAATCCACAATAATGCCATCAAAGAATTTCATCAATCAACAATTTATGGTCCACAATAAGGCAATTCACAAAGCACAATGATCAACACATTACCTCTTTTATTAATCTCCTTATTATTCATTAATACCAATCAAGTGGAAAAATTGAACCCATCACTTTATTCTGATTACTCCCCAGCACACACAATGAATGGAATACAATATTCTACAAGTTTCACAAGGTTTAGAAGAACAATCTTCTACAAGTTTCACAAGGTTTAGAAGATCTCTTGTCTCAATTAAATCAAAAGTCAATCCAAGACTTGAGCTTTCCTTTTAGAACAAAGCCCAAAGCCACACAATCGAACTTAATGAAGTAATCACAATAAGATTCTTGAAATAATAAAAAAGAATATCATACATTTTGAAAAATGAATCAAAACAACTCCAAAGTCCAAATTTGAAAATGTTGTTCGAAATAGAAAATATTTACTTCGAAACATTACCCAAGACATTCAGAAGTCATTAGTGAAAACCATTGTAGAAATAGATTAAAATTTAGCTCATAACCACTATTTTATCAAGCTGTTGAAGAAACCCAGCTTATCATTCCCAAATATCTTAATTTGAACACTTAAATTCATTAACAATGGGTAAATGAAGATTTTATGATTGGGAATCGTTACCCAATGGCTTCTTCTCAAAAACTTTGTTCAAATCGCAACATTAAATTTCCCAAAAATTAAAAAGGGAGAAACTGATTTCAAAAAATATTTGTCCACGGATCCTTTGCGAAAGAGGATGGACAACGTATTAAAGAGCTCCAAGAACACATAAGCTTCTCTACGAACTCGGAGGCCAGTAGCCCTAATCCTCTGCAACCAAGGACATTCATACGCAAGCGCAGTGGCCAACAACCTACCCTTTGTGATCGTGGAGGTCAATAGACACTAGTAACAAAAAAATCACATAAGACACAAAATTCACCAAAAGGGCCTTCAGGATTAGTTCAAAACCCTATACATACAAACCATATATGTAAATTGACTATACTCAATCTCACAAATAATGGAATCATTCAAATATATGAATCTCGGATATCCTGACCAAAGTCCCACGTAAGTAACAAGAAAGAAACATAACGCCTAAAAAGGCCAAATCAAGTTTAGAACCTCTAAACAAAGACCTCACAAAACCTTAAATAATCCCCAGAATCCAAGGAAAATCTCGAAATTTCATCAGAGCATTTGAACCTGGAATTAGGGTTGTTCATGGTTATGGTTATTAACTAAACCAAACCACAATTTGAACCAAACCAATTGAAAAAACGATATTTGTTTAGTTTGGTTTTTAAATTTTGAAAATCGATACTATTTTATTTATTTTTTTACTAAAAAACAACACAAAAATAACCAAACCGAACCGATAAATTAGATATATAAATTTTATAATTATTTATATATTATTCATAAAAAATTAAAAATAGTTTGTTAAATTTAATTAACTTAAGTCATTAACTTTTTCATTTTCTCAAGCCCAACACTTAAGCTCAAGTATAACAATCTCAAATCCAAGTCCATCAAAATGCATTTTAGTCTTTACACTGTATCACATAAAATAGTCATACACTCTAATATTGCTTAATTGTTTGACTGAACCGACATTAGCTTTTCTGTAGATTGTTCATGTAATGGTGTTTGTGTCTATCAAACGTACGTACTCAAAAAAAGTTATTACTTTCGAACAGAATAAACTAGAAAATTGAACCAAACCAATAATAACCAAAACGATGGTTATTTTTTCGTTTTGTTTGGTTTGGTTTTAGAAATTTTAAAAACCGACTAGATTGGTTTTGTTTTGGTTTTAATCAATAACCAATCTAAACCGAACTACGAACACCCCTACCCAGCATATTAACTAAAGGTAACTTAAAGACTAAAATTCCATAGTTTTCCAACTTAGGACCTCAAATCCTCAAAAAAACTCTAAAACTGAAATCGAAAACTCCCTCAAATGAATTTCCGAATTTCAAAACTAATGAAATCGACAGGAATCCATTCCGCCACTCAACACTCCAAAAGACACTAAAATACTTTTAAATAACTTTATCCTGTCAAATGCCAAATTTCTCATAATTCACAAATTCCAACTCAAACCTCGAGATGAATTCAAACCTCATTCAAAAATCAATCGAGACTAACATCGGGAGGGCTAAACTGTAATATTTATGACAATTTTCGATAATTATCAACCAAGTCATTAAAGATTTCCTCTTTCATTTTATTAAGGTAATGTATCATGTTTTTTTTCTATTTCTTCATTTTAAGTTTTAAATTGGGTGATAAGGGTTCTCCTATCTAGGTGTCAGAGTTAGTGCGCGCATAACCCGGTGGGTTGGATCGTGACATTAATAAGTCTATTAAATCAAAGGAAATATATATCACAACTTTAAAATTAATTCGTTATTCATTAACATAATTACCATGCCAACACTGGACGGGCTGCTTCTCCATAATTAAATGTATTGACTTCGAGTTTTCAATACTAGAGAAGTATTTGGTAGTAGTGCTTCTCCTGAATGAACCTTAAATGACAAGAGTTAAAACTATTTGAGCCATAATGTAAATAACTGAGAACAAATCTGAAATAATAAAGACAGTAAGTGAACAACAAAGGACGAACACTGCATCTTCTAATTGTACTAAACGTAGTACTAATTGTACAATATATTTGGCCCTTCTTCTTTGATGAATAAACACGTGTCTCACTTTTGCTTCACTTTGTGTGCAATTTTTGCACTATCATCTCACAATTCTCTATAGATTTCTATCTCCTCTTCTGCTAAGCTTGGTCTATTTTCTGAACTCTTCTTTGTAGGTCTCAACTCTTCAATGGTGAATCCATGTGTTACTGAGTGTCTTCTCTTTATGTAGACACTTAAAATCTCTGTTGTTTGTTTTGAATGCCATACCAAAGTATTTCTTCATGATTTCAGGTAAATTTACATGTTTTTCAATCTGTCTAATCTGACCTATTTTCTCTTCAAGACTTATTATATTCATCAAATTCCTGATTCTAATATTCAGGGGCTGTTTTGGGTGCTTGTAATTCCTGTACTATGCTTCGACACAAAAACACAAGAGCATAAAATCCAGCTTTGTTAATGCAAGTTCCTCCACGGTTAGTTTGTCCGGTGAGCTTTATACTATGAGTAGGTGCCTTCTCTTTGTGCTTTATTGCTTTTATAGTTTCTAAAGCGTCGAATCTCAGGTCCATTTTTATTAATATATGGCTTTTCTATGTTCTTCACTCTTTTAAAGTGTATAATTTTTTTAATTGATGGTGGATTATGTTGTCACTCTTTATTTTGTTTTCTTTATTTATGTTTTTATGCTTTCACTTTATATTTTTCAATAGGAGTTTGAAATTTTTATTTAAAGTTTGAAAATTGGGTTAACAGCGTAATTCTCCTCCCATTTCACTTCCAAGTAATCAAAAAATTAATATATGTATATGAATTCCCCCCCCCCCCGGAGTTTATGAAAATTAGGGGTGTAAGAGAGAAACTGTTCAAAATTATTTTAGTGCATGTGGATATTGAATCTTCAATGGAGTAACATGACCCGTAAGATTCATGTTGCCTACCCTTATTTATTGGGGTTGATGTTATAGTCTCTCACTTTGACAATTGTCAAGGATTCCTTTTATAGGATAATTTGATTTAATATAATTTTAATTTTTGAATTTATTAATTCTTAATTGTCCAATTCTATATACATTTGACAATTAACGTGATTATGTTATTCTATTTATAGGGATATCATTTTTTGCTTTTTAATTTTTTTCCTTTTCTCTCTGTCGATTGTAGTAAGATAAAAATTTGTTTGAAAAATTAGTGGTGTGTCTCCACTTCTTCATTTATATAAGCATTCATATATTCTCAATATAACACAATTGTGACACTGAGCTCCGCTCTATTGATTATTGAAAACTTGGATTCCGTTACTATATCTTGATGATTTTACTTGATTTTTGCAGAAGTAATGACTTTTGATGAGCAACAAATGGCATTGGGTTGTGAGTACGTACACATTTTCTCCTCTTCTAAGGTAATTATCACCAACTCTATTACATTGGCTCATTGTGGGATGGTTTGGATGAGTTGTCGTCAGTTTAAGCCTCCTCTTTTGTTCTCCTTTCTATATGACTATGGTTCTTAAATCTTATGTGCTTCTATTTTGGGTGAATGACAGTTCTCTTATTTATTTTTTTGAACAACTGCACTTATGATATTAAACTTAAAGGCAAATATAGAAATTTCATTGAACTCTAATGTTTCAATTGGTAGCATATACGTTGTTGATCGATAAATAAAAATAGTAACCATATCAATAGTTGGATATACTGTAAATACACACTTTTAAGTTTTGTAAGATTTTATTTACTTCATTGATAGTTATCTTCTCTAATTTGTTCACTATTTGCACTTACATTTAGGAGCTCCTTAGTAGTAGATTTTGTCTTTGAGCTTAAAATGTGTCTCTCGTATTTTTTCATAGTAAAATGAAGAGGTTAGCTAGATATGATTATTGAGACATCAATTGATTTTCAAAAATGTACAAAGATTATTCTACTAAAGTTGTGTTTAAAGATGAAATGAACATGATTTCAGCTATAGAGGTTAGATCATGTTTTTCTTATGCCTTCCTCTTTCCTTCATCAGTAAGTTTATCTTCTAACTTGACTGTTTTCATTTTTAGTGGTCTTCTTCATTGAATTTGTAGTGTTTTTGTTATGATATTTATCTTCTTCTTTTTTCAATATGTATTGTTGTCTATTGAGAGAGATATTATATCTCTTTTATCCTTGATAATGGAGTTTATAAACGCAAGAGTGAGACGGTTAATAAATTTTGTTTATTTAAAATGTTGAAGCATCTACCATTGAGGCAGTAAAAACCTTGGTTTATTTACATTTTTTTAGTTTATTACTTTGGTTTATGAAAATCCATGTATACTAATGTCCTTCCAGAAATATCTATTGTATGTTTGTAGCAGTGAAGACACATATAGTTTCATTTACTCATGTAGAACCAAATTTCTCCTCTCTCATTGAACCTTCTCAGTTAAATCCCTTGATCTTCTTCTCTTTTTCTATGCTTCCCTCTCTCATGTACATGTAGGGACTTTGTTGGTCATCAACCTTCCTTTTAGAAGGAAAGATATGATATGGAGCTTTATACATGTTTACTCTAATAAATGATTTTTCTCTGTTAATAAATGATTTGGCTTTTAAATATAGCAAATTTAACTTTTCTTCTCAACATTTTGCAGGCTGAATACAAATCCAATTAATATGTGTGTCAGTTTAAATATTAGACAATCTTGCATCAATGAGTAGCAGCAAAAAAAAATTGATACTTAATACTATTTAATAGTTATAGATAAATGTAAGGGAAAATGACAGATATATCCCGAACTATCATAAATGATACGTCAATATCCTTCGTTATGCTTTCGGATTGTATATATCCTTACTGTCAATATTTCGGAACATATATACCCTTAGAATAGACGGAGAGACACGTGTCATGATCTTAACGGTCCATACAAATTTAATTTAGTTCTTACCCATAAATAAAAAAACCGACCCATCTTTCAAAATTTTAACCCATTTATAACCCATATTGTAACCAAAAGCACCCAAAGTCAAAAGTGAAGTTTCAGTAAGACAATCAAAACTCTCAAATTCATCTTTTCTTAACTTCTATACACAAAACCTTATTTCAAACGTTAAGATTTGAAAAACAATTTCAAGCGAAGAAGAAGATTTTTTTTTTTCCAGAAATCCTTTGGACTATTTCTTATTCTTCATGTTCTTCAACCAAAAATGTTTGTAGAATATTTCAATTGATTTGACTAAAATCACTCATAAAGATTTTGATTTTGATTGTATGAAATTGAAAAAAATATGATGAAACTCAAATTACGAAATTCAATTTCACTTATAAAAGCAACCATCAAGTCTTAATCTTTCACACTCAATTCATTATTCCACAATTTTTGATATTATCCTAACGTTTATTGCATATCCAGTTTTTCATGCTTCTAGGAACACAGAACAAGCATCATGATTGAATAGAAACTGGAGAATGAAGCAGCCAACAACTTATTTGTGCTGACAAGAAGCACGATAACTATGCTCACATCGAACAAGAAGTGTAAAATCAAATGGTGCGGAGCTGGAATGACTAGAAGAAAAGTAATTAATTTGTGGGAAAACTGACACGAGTGGGTGTTTAGTTAGGTTAGATTGGGGAAGAAGAAGAGGATGGGTTCAAATTATGACATGTGTCTCTCCGTCTATCCTAAGGGCATATATGTTTCGAAATATTGACGGTAAGGATATATACGACCTGAAAGTATAAAGAAGGATATTGACGTACCATTTATGATAGTTTGGGAATATATTTGTCCTTTTTCCCATAAATGTATTACCTGTTTTTTCTTGGAAGCAACATTTAGATATAAACATAATCAATAAAGAAGATGTGAAATTAAAATCTGCTTACTCTTTTTGGTGTTTATGATTGAGAAAGAACTCAACTTTACATACATCAACATGACATTTTTTTCCAAGGTAGCTACTTCATTTAGTTTCTTAATTCTTAAAGTTATGATTTGACACTTGATATATGATCTCTTTTTGAATGATGAAAGTTAAAGACTATATTTATGTATATTTCAAATTTTTGAATTGTGCATTATGTTCATCGCTCAAGATTATGTTTTTAACTGTCAAAGCATTCTTAATCGTTTCATTTTCATCTAAAATGGACCGTAGAGGTTTTGCCATTTTTTAATATCCTTGAATAATGTTAATTTTTTTGTTAAAAAAAAGGAAGGGAAAATATTATATCAATTATAGAATCTCAAGGGAAGTATGGAATAGAATTTAACTTATGAAACCTGTAATTTTGCAAATTGTTGTAGACCACTGTTAGAAGAATATGTCAGAATTCTTCTATTTATTAAAGTTTGGTACTAAACTGGTATTCATAGGAATGAAACACTAATTGAGATTTCTCTGTTTTTTTATTTAAAGTTCGGGACTGAACTAGCACTCATAGTAATGCAACAGTATATGAATTAACTATCTCTTACATCGCGGATCTTTATAACTATTCCTTTAATAATTGAAATTGTTGGAATATGAATGTACATGTTATCTTATCCTTCCTATCATTATTTTATATCTGATAAATCATAAAAACAAATTTATAGTTGTGTTTCAACTTTCAATATAAATAGAGATTAAATGAATAATTACTAACTTTTAGAAGACATGATCCCAATAAAAGTATATGATGACAATCTTACATTTCCTTGGTTAGTGTTATTTTTTTCTCAATCCAGTGAACAAATTTGTATTTATGTTATTGCTTCTTAGAAAGACAGGTTGGTTCATATGCAAATAAGATATTCACAATGAATGATGACTTAGATTTGCCTATAATGTTTTCGATGTTGCAAAATTTCCTATAGATTTTTAATTTAGGGCAGTATATGAAATTGTGATTTTGCTAAATTAGGGGAAGAAAGAAAGTATGGTAAGGTTTTAACTCGGAACATATTAAATATGATTTTAAAAGGCTCATTGGAAGTATGTTTTGTAATCAGTTAAGTAGTATTTTTGTGTGAAATTGGCATAATAGTGTTTCTTGAAATCTTTGGTATCCTAATTTGAATTGTTAGTATTATTTGGCAGGTTTGATGTTACAAAGTTCAAAAGATGATTAAGATATGAATAAAGATGACATGTAGAAGTGAAGATAAAAGATGACTACACTAAATTGTTTAGCAAGAATTGAGCATGTTGTTATCCCGATTTCAAGTATATGTTATCCATAACATGGGTTTTCACATTACTCTTCAACAGTGATGCTAAACCTCATTGTTCATGAAAAAGTTAATTTTTTTAATTTTTGTGTAATGTACAAACTATATATATTATCAACTTCTACATTAGAATGGCATGATAGGACTTTCTTAGTCATATAAAATGCAGATATTTTAACATGTCGCACAAAATTTACTGAATATTATGTTACTTTGATGGCACGAGCCGTGCCCCATCGCGTATATATATATATATATATATATATATAAAAGTTGAATGTGACTTGTTCAAAAGAATGGATGAGGGTAAAATTTAACTACTCTAGTTAAATGAGTTAATATCTAAAAAATCAGTGAATTATAGAAAATTATCTAAGACAAGTCAGTCATTAAACTTTCTTTTTGTATCAATAGATTTACTCAACTTAACACTTTTATCTTCAAAAATAATTCAATTATATTTATAATTGAAATAAATTTGTAAATTATTTTTCTATATTATGGATCTCATAAATAAATAAATTATAAAATCGAGTTATACCCCACAAAATGTAAAACTTCATTTCATTTTTACCTTGATAATATGCCATTGTGTCTAATATGAGACTGTCTCTTAATATCCTATGCAGACTGTAGTGGTCTGAATATCCAATAAAACACCAACTGTCATTGCTGTGAAGATTTACTGAACCACTAAAGAAAGTTTAATGATTTTTCTAAATAATTTCCCATAATTTTGTGACCTTCTCCTTTTTTATATTATTTGTTTAGTTTTAATTTGATACAAAATTTAAGAAAATAAAAAAGAGTTTAAAATCTTGTTGTCTTAAACTAAAAATATATGAAATATATCAAAATATGTATTAATCTTGTATTTTTAAGTATGTCATATTCAAAATTAGAAGTAAATCGTCACAAAAGAAGATACTTCTTTTTAAAAAAATACTCCATAGATAATGGACACTAAGTACACATGTTGATGCTGTCAATTTTGTTGAATGGGTGCTCAAATGAGAGTTCTTCCATAATAGAAAAAATTCTGATTTACATGCCTAAAAATCTGCTATATATCTCTAAATATATGTTATTCTTAATTGTAATATCTATGAAAATATGCTATATTAATCTATGCTATATTTTATCATTATTACACAAATATTTAAAGTTATAACATAGATACGTATAGAAATTTAAAATTTGTCCAATAATGTTACCATCCCCCCTCAAATTGATGTTGATGGATCAAAAAGCATCAATTTTCCTTCAAGAAATTGATAATGTTGTCGTGCTATAGACTTTGTAAACACATTGGCTATTTGAAGATCACTAGATACATGTGGAAGAGTACTGACTCTTGTGTACATCTTCTCTGATTTAATGACAGTTTACTTCAATGTGTTTGGTCCTTTCATGATAAACTGGATTAGTAGCAATTCGAATAGCACTTGCATTGTCAGTATCGAGAGGAGTGAAATTAGATTGAGGAAATCTAATTTCATCAAGTAAACCACGAATCCAAACAATCTCAGAGCAAACTGTAGACATTGCTCGATATTCATTTTTGGTGGAAGATTTTGATACACGGTCTTGATTCTTGCCCTTCCAAAATAGCAAGGAATCTCCAAGAAACCTGCACCAACCCATGACGTAGCGACGAGTATCAGGACATCCAGCCCAATCAAAATCCCTAAATGCATTAAGCTGAATCTCAAAACCATCAGAAAAGAATAATCCACGAGGAGATCTTCCCAGGAAATATCGAACGATGCAACAGTTTGCCACCAAATGTAGATGGCATGAATCCTGCATAAATTGACTCACTTGTTAAACTGCAAAAGAGATATCAGGCTAAGTAATAGTAAGATAATTTAGGTTCCGAACTATTTTCGATACAAAGTTGGATTAGCAAGAAGATCTTTTTCCGCATGAGAGTACTTTACATTCAGTTCCAATAGAGTATTTATAGAGGAAGATTCTTTATGACTAGCCAAAACAATCAAGTCCTGAGTATATTTGTGTTGGTTCAAGAACACACTTAAAAAATTATAATTAATGAACTTCTACTACTAATCAACTTGAAGATATCCTTACTAAAGTTTTCACTGATGTCAAGCATTCAGCCATTTTGAACAAGTTGGCTGTGGAATTCTCACCACCAACTTGAGGAGAGGTATTGAGAATTGTTATTAATTAATGTGCTAATCACAACCTAGACTTAATTAGTTAGCTGATTCATTAGTTTGTTAGAGAGGAGTTATTTAGAAGTCAGTTAATAATTAGTTAGATACTTTCTGTTTCTTCTTTATAGCTGGCATTCTTGTATACATATACTTCGATCAGTAATCAAAGGCATTATCAAGTCTCATTCAATACAATTACAATTCCTTCTACATTGCTCTGGGTTACAGTAGTTCCTTTGAAATCCACCATTGATATGGAGTTTTGATAGATACTACTGTTAATTCCACAACCAATGGATATGCAGTAATCACATAACTGTGTTTTTTCAATTCACCTATGTTGTTCATAATTTTCAGTGGTGAAAATCCATCTCAAAAAGCTTATTTGATTTCAATATTACTTGTAGCAGCATCTTTTTGTAGTTATATTGCTATTGTTTCAATCAGATCTGTGAAATTGAAAGTAGAGTTGACTAAAGTTACATCAACGTCACAATGCCGGCTCTTGCCTTAGAAATTTTAGGCCATTGCCTTAGGCCCCCCATTTTTGGGCCTCAAATTTCTATAAATAAAAATTTAAGTTTAATTCTTTTATGAAAAAAATAATTTTTTATAATAAAAAGTGTGTGTGTATATATATATATATATTTGTTAAAACTCACATTATTTATCTTTTTTAAACTCTTTATGCACTCGATTTTTATAAATTTTTAATAATTAGAGTAATATTCTGTCAAAAATATGAATAAATAGTCGATAAGTGTTGAGCAAAGTAAATTACAAATATTTTTTTTGTAACTTTACATATTAAAGTAGGATATACCCAGTTATCAATTTTTTGGATCAGATTATATGATTCTTACTCTTATATTTATTTAAAATTTATCAACTTATTACTTACAGAACAATATTATCGATTCATATAATAATTGTCTCAATAACATGATGTTTTCAATGTTAAAGTGACCAAATCTTGCTTTAAAATAATAAATAAATAATGTATTTAAAAAACTCATTTATAATAAAGATATCAAGTAATAATTTACATTTAAAAATTTAGAAAAATAAATAAATACAAATAATATTTATTTAAATTTAAGCCTCTAATCAAAATTTCGCTTTAGGTCTCGAATTATGTTAAGCCGCCCCTACAACGTCATGACTATTGTTGTGTTGCATAAAATTAATGTTATCCATATATGAAATTCGCGTAGCAGGTAGCTTGGGGAAGACGAAGAAGACGGTGAAGGAGAAAAATTGGTGTTAAATATTCATTTCTTAAGACATCATTTAACAGGGGGAATAAGTTAGTAAAATAGGTATCTCATAATTATTTTCTTCATGAGTATGTCAAACAAAAGTGTGACAAGTAAAAGTAAAAACACAGGGAGTACTTTATTTCTTTAACAAACACATTAACTTTATTAGCATCACGACATAGCATACTTCCATAATGCACAACCAAAAAAAAAAAGCAATCAAGAATACATTATGAACAATCAAAACAATCCAACAGATTTCAATAATGCAAAATCACAACATGGTATTCAACTATTGCATTTTGTGTGGTATTATCACCTCTGTATGTTTTCGCGGTAGCGCTACCTTTTGCTAGCCTGAAAACACCAGAACCACCAACGATTGGCAATTCTCGATACTTGTGAAATATCTGATTGTGCCCAAGGATACTGAGTGTGCTACCATTGTACTTACCATCGGTGAACACAAGGTTGAGAGTCATAAGAAGACCTATATCTTCAAATGATGCGGAACCATAGATCCCTTGGGCTCGGCCTATTTCTTTTGAGTTTGGCTCGGGCTTAACCGTCAATGGATTGTCCATCATCCTCACTAAGCCAAATAATGTTGGTGATTGAAATGTATTATTGGCTTGTGCTATTTGGATTGCTGATGGTTTCTTTGCAGTCACAGTATCATGAAAGTAGAAGTGAAGTTTGGTCATTTTTAGTTTTGCATGAGAAAGCTTTTTAAACCATTTTTCCACTCGTTTAGGACTTTGATCAAGCCCATGACTTGAGCCCAATATTGTTATTGCCAAAAATAAGAGAGCAAACAACAAAAATTTCTCCATTTTCTTTACCCTTTTATCCCCTTGTTACTTATACATTCAAATGAATCATATCTAGTTTCAAATAAATAGAAGCAAAAACACAAATGTTGAGAAAATGTGAGAGAGGGAGGAAATAACAAAGAAAAAATTTCTAATGTTTATTTAATTTAGATTGCGGTTCATGTGCTAACTACTTATTTGAATATGATATTCTAAAAAACATTACAGTACCTTGATGTGCATTTTTCTAATAACAAACATACATTATAGAGTTGACTATCGAAATTGATTCTATGATTGAATAACACATGTCCTACTTACTTAGTATTAGGAACTTGGAGATACAGATAGAGGAGAAATGATACAAAAAGTTGCCATGTTCTTCGATTAATATACTTGCCATGATCTAGGATGACACTCGTGAACAGCTATGTATATTTAGAAAAAGGGCAAGGGGTTGAGTTTATAAATATATTATTGCCAATTAATATGATTTCTTAAAGTCATCAAGGAAAATGACTTTTTAAAATAACATATATATATGTATCTCAAATTGAAAAAAGTCAACTCTATAGATGTTTGTTATTAGAAAAGAGCACATCTAGATGTTTTACGAAAATATATACAAGTAAAAGAAAAAATGACTAAGTTTCGAAAAATCGATTAATCCTATGATTTAAGAGAAATCGACTTTTCAAATCACAGAGTCGCCACTTAATTTTTTAGTAAAAATCAAGAAAACTTAAAATTATTTTTCAAAAGATTTAAAATAGATAAAAATCAGTTGAAAAGAGTTCGACGTTCAAATGTACATTCCAAAAAGGTGTTAGGCCCTCGAAATGTCTGCTAACTCGCGATTGACTAGCGATTTGACTAAACCTGACTTTTAATTTTAATTTTCAAATACTGACTAAGTAAAGAAAATTTTATTTTTATTATTTTTATTTATTGCTTATCATATCATTTTTAGCCAATTATTTTAAAGGGAAATAAGGTAAAGAGGAGTCATTCAAAAGTAACGAGTAGAATAAAGACTAAGCAAAATCTCTTTCTCTCTCTCTCTATATATATAAATAAAGAGAAATGACTACCCTTGGGAAATTAATAAAATTCAACCAGAAGTGTAAGTAAAATGACAATAATAGCAAATAAATCATAGTATAGGGAAGAATATTTGAACTTGGGCTTTTCAGGCTACTGATTTGGGCTCTGGCCCTATTTTAACCCTTGAAATCATGTGTATACACCAAGCGTATATTTATGTATATGGGTCTTTTCTTAACTCTTTTTATGTATATCAAAGTTCGTAGCGACTGAATACAGTCCTCTTTGACGCCTCAGACCTGTATTGTGTTTTTTTTCTCCATGTATTTTCTGCTCTAGACCTGTATATCCGTGTATAAAGTTGTATACAGTATGTATACTGCCCATTTCTTGGGTTTTTGAGCAAACTTTCAACAGTATTTTGGAGCTCTTGACATGTAACAGCTTCCGCATTCGATAGATAGGAAAGTAAAATCGAGCTTTTATGACTCAACTCGAAAATGCGAAGAAGATAAATTCACCATGGACTCGAAAAGGAGTTCATACAAGTTTAAAAGAAAAAAAGATGAATTTATGCCAAACCACAGTATTGGAACTAACAAATGTAAATTCAAACCAAATAAATAATGCAAAGGAAAGTAAAAGCCCATGTCTTCCTTGAAAAGAGTAGTATTTACACTTCAGCTAATTCACAAGAGTAATATCTTTAATGAAAATATAATAAGACATGGCTAAGAAATTTTCAGTGTATTCAAAAGGAAAATAGAACTTATGTCCATATTAGAGAACTGCAAGGAAAACAAGTGACACTCCTATGTAGAATACAAATAGCAGAGGTATTATTAACTATAAGTCGAACTAAACAAAATAAAACAAAAATAAAGTTACTGCCTATCCCTTAGCTATGGATAGTGAACAACATATTCCAAACATTTGATTAAGCAATTCAACTTGATAAAAATGGATAGCACATTACAGCTTCACAAGAACTTTTTAGGAAAAACTTATAACTCAACCATTTATTGATTTAAATCAGCATGGTAATGAACACAAAACAAAGCTTGAACCACGCTAACTCATACGAGAAAGTCACAACATTGTACTAATATCACATATTTAGACACTATCCTAGAGGTAAAATATGATCAAAATGGAAATTTACACAAGCATTTTCCAACTAGAACTTAGACAAAGTTGAGACATATCAGACATGACAATTACGGCAAGACAATCACACGATTCGAAATAAAACGAAAGCCAAATTTTAAGCATTTATAAATTCGGATTCATCCATTTAACTAAGACAATAAAATGAATGACACAATGATCAGTTAGAAATTCCAACCAAACAGACTTTCAAAGAAGAGTATACAAGTCAAAATAAAGAAGAAAACAAGGATGAAGCCAGAGAAACAAACAGAATGCTCTTCACATAGTACTCGGAATCAAAATAAGACGTGAATGAGGGGAGAAGTACCACCTATCTTGGAGCAGCGTTCCGGGACGACAGGCTTGACTACGAAGCAACATCCACCACGAACTTTGACTACACAAGATACTGATGAAATCAAAAATTGAAAATTATATTTGTTTGAACTCTTGTCCTTAAACTTTTGAAGCCATTTGAGGTATGTCTTATCAGATCAAAAATCCTCCCTCGTAGATGAGAGTTTATATAGAAGAAATTGGTGCTGAGATAAGGGGGGAAACGGGCTTGTTTTGAGAGGGAAAACTGGATTAATTCGAATTCCTTGGAGTTAAGGTTGCTAATAGCTGAAATTGGTACCATTCTCAACGGTATTGAAAGGCTGGCCATTGGATTAGAAACCAAGGACGAAGAGGCGACGATATTTCGACACCTAGACTATTCCCGTACGGAGAGGAAAAAGAAGAGAGATAGAAGATGACACAACAAGAGTTGCCGGACTCGGGTCGCGATTTTCTCCCGTATTTTAGCAATCTGGGTCACTGGAACTTCTGGAGAAGAAGAAAGCACGCGTACAGGGTCTGGGAACGGGTCTTTTAGGTATTGAATTGGGATTGGGTTGGGTCAAGGGAGACAGTGGGATGGGTGTTATTGGGCTTGGTTGAAAATTAGGAAAAGAATGGGTTTCTTAGGCTAAAGGAATTAAAGT